AGTATCTCTATCCTATTTTGTATATACAGATAGAAAATAGTCCTTCACTTGTATCCCCTTTTTTTGTTTAGTTTTTTCAGAGATGGGTATTCCACTGCCATTTAACTATGATGCTCTATTGATATGATGTATAACATTTACTGGTTTATGTATGTTGAAAAAATCCCCAGATTCCTGGGATGAATTATTCTTGTTCACAGTTTATAAACTCTTTGACAATTTGTTGCTTTCTGTTTGACGGTACGTTATTAAGGATTTTGCATCTATGTTCATTATGGAAATTGTTGTGTACTTCTCCTTTTTAGATGGATGCTTCTCTTGTTTTGGTATCAGAGTAATGTTTACTTCCAAGAATGAATTTTGGAGTATTGCTTCCCTTTCAATTTTATTAATGAGTTTGAGGAGTATTGGCTATAAATCTCTAAATTTCTTGTAAAACTCAACTTTGAATCCATCAGGATAGGGGCTTTTCTTTCATTGCAAGTTTTAATTACATGCTCCATTCATGGACTGATTTTTTTATTTAGAATTTTTGTATCTTCTTGATTCAGTTTTGGTAATTCATATTTATCTAGGAATCAGCCCATTTCTTCTGCATTTTCCATCTAATTAGATACAATTTCTTGAAATAGGTATTGACGACATTCTGGATTTCTGGATTATACATTTTTATTTTATCTCAGGTTCATAGTTTAAGATTTTTTTTTTGGTGGAACCAGGAATTGAACTCAGGTCCTTTCACTTGCCAGGCAAGTGCTTATTCTACTGAGCTATCTCCCTGGCCCTGAAAGTAAATAGCACTCTTTTTTTTTTTTCCTCTTTTTTGGCAGAACCAGGGATTGAACTTAGGCCCTTGTACTTACCAGGCAAGTGCTTATTCTACTGAGCCATCTTCCCAGGCCCAGTTTAAGATTTTTATTTCTGTTTTTAGACAAGGTTGGCTAAGTGTGTCTCAGTTTTGTTTAATATTTCAAATAACCTACTCTGATTCGCTGTTTCCTTGTGCTATATTCTTAGTCTCCATTGCATTAATTTCTGCTCTTATCATAATTTCCTTCCTCTTATAAACTTTTGACTTGACTTGCTCTACTTTTTCTAGAAGACTAAGGTTCTACATTAGATTATTTATTGGAGCATACTGTTTTCCTAATATGGGTATTCATAAAATTTTCCCTCATAGGATTATATTCATTGTGTCCCATAAATTCTTGTATTTTATTTAATTTCCATGTGTTTACGAAGTTCTTGGGGTTTCATTTGCCACTGATTTCCAATTTCATCCCACTATGGTCTGATAGTATGCATAGGATAATTTCAATTCATTTACATTTAATTAAGGATATTCTATGAGCTAATCTGTAGTCTATTTTAAAGAATGTCCCATGTTCAGCTGAGAAGAATATGTATCCTGATGTTGTGCAGTGGAACACTCTGTAGATATCTATTAAATCCATTTGCTCAAAATATTTTAATTCCAATATTTCATCATTGATTCATTTGTCTATCTGATCTATTCATGAGAGTGGGGTATGGAGTTCCCACATTACAATTGCTTTATTGCTTATTTGATTTTTCATGTCTATTAATATTTTGTTTTATATAGATGAATTCATTGACATTTGGCAATACACAACATATATTTATTATTGTTATCTCTTCCTCTTGGAATCCCTTTACAAGGTTGTGTTGACATTCATAATCTTTTTTGACCTTTTTCATTAGTGTTGCTGGAAATCCACTTTGTCTGATAATAAATGAACTACTTGTGCTTTTTTCAGTGTATACTTTTCCATTCTTTCACTTTCAGTCTATGAATTTCTTTTTGAATTAAAAATGTTTCTTGTATGCAGAATATCTTTGAGTATTCTTCTTGATGCATTCTGGTTGTCTGCCTCTTTCTCTTAGTGAATTGAGACCATCAACATCAATGGTTATGACTCATTATTATTGACTTATTCTTGATGTCTTCTGTTGTTGGCTCCCTTTATTCCCTCTGTTAAATTACTTGCCTTGCCTTGTAAATTTCTTCTTTTGAGGGTCACAGAGTTAAAATTCTTATTCTTTTTCTAGAATGTCCTTCAGCACATTTTGGAATGCTGGTTTGGTACTCATCAGTTTCCTCAGGTTATCTATGTTAGGTAACTATCTTATTTCTCTATCAAATACAAAACATAGCTTTTCACGGTACTTCTGTCTAGGTTAGAGGGTTTTTTCTTTTTTTCTTCTTTTTTAAAATAATTTTGTCAAGTAAGAAGTAGCATTGAGATAGTTTCAAAACAGGTTAGTGGTACAGTTATAGTAATTAATACATTGCATTTTGTGGTCTTTGTAATAGTTACTCATAGTACAAGATGCAAACATGATATCTTCTCTAAATGCTATTAGTTCAAAACTTTCTTCTCATTGAATTAAGAGAAAGCAGATGTATATCTATGTTATTTTGTATATGCAGATATTATATATATATGTATATATAAATTTCAAATTGTCAATTGGTATCCCCTTTTTCATTTACTTTTTTCAGATATGTATTCCATTACCATTCATATGTTGTAGGTGCATGAATTCAGCAGAGGAATCCAATATAGTCCAGTAGTATATAATAGTAAGGTGTTATCCACATGACTGGCAATTTCAGAAGTTGTTTACTTGAACCTTTTACAGCTCAGCATATTAATATGGCTTTATTTTTCATACCTCGTTTTTATACTTTTCTGATGTATGGTTAAGACCAAGATAAAGCAAGACCTATATAACAATAAATGTAACTTTTGTATCTGACAAGATCAATCAAATCCCCTCAGTAACTACCCTTATATCCTGTACTGGAGTTTGTAGATCCTTTGTCAGTGTCAGTCACGTGGATGAGTCATGGCCATTGCCTGACCAATCTGCTCTCTGTGAAAGCCTGAGAGAATATTTTTTTAATAGGTGACTCTCCTTAGGCACACTCTACATCGACAATCACTCTCCTCTGCCACTCCATAATCTGCCTTATCAGAAAATTTGAGACACTATTGAGTTACAGGATGTTACAGTACAGGTTCCCTTATTTCCTGAGTCCTCACTGACTTTGAAGGGCTAGGGACAAAATGTTGGCTATCCTTGTAGCCCTTCTTTTTCTCTATTTTTTTCTTCTGCAAACTTAGGTTGTTAACCCTCCAGAAGAGAAACTTAATGATATTATTACCCAAGAACATAGGCTGTTGAACAACATCAGTATCTGTCTGAATATCAAACACCTTAGACTTAACTTGGAGCAGGTATTTTCTGTCAATCGTTAATTTCTCTGAATTTTAAAACATGCATATGAATTAATTACATTAGATCATAAAACATAATGCTCCAGTGGCACAATCAGTTAGTGCATGGTAGTTGTACAGAAAATATACTCCAAGCAAAGGAAGTCAGAACATGGTGAGCCTTGAAAGACACTAAGATACATTTTTTCCATTCATTTTGAAGGCTTATAGATAAGGCCCGCTCATTGTGAGAAATTAAAGGCTCCAGAGTAGCGATTGCTTACACGGAGGTAAAGCAGATAAGATGGGATGGGATATCCTGATGTACAAATGTTAATAGACTACAGCATATTATCTATACTCTCATAGAGGATCTGTAAAGCAATAAAGAGAACCCAGTACTTAACTGTGCAAAACAGAGGAAATCACTAACAGAGTAAAATGACAATTACAGAATGTGAAAAGAAATTTGCTAGCTATGCCTCAGACAAAGGACTATATCCAGAATACATGAAGAACTCAAAAATACTAGTGCCCCCAGATTTATAGACATACTTAAAAATGGATATCTGAAATAAATAGACACTTCTCAGATGAAGAAATATAAATGACCAATAAATACATGGAAAATGTTCAATATTGCTGCCATTTTAGAAGTGCAAATTAACACAATACTGAGATTCCTTTTCCCTACAGAAAGAATGCCTATCCTCAAGAAATCAAACAATAACAAATGCTGGAGAGGCTGTGAGAAAAAAGAACACTTTTCCATTGTTGGTGGGGCTACAGTGATGCAATCACTATGAAAATAAGTGTGAAGATTGTTCATCGAACCAAAAACATAAATTCCATTTGATCCAGTTCTTCTCCCCCTAGGTATCTTTCCAAAAGTGAAAAACATCATATCCTTGTGATGTGTGTACACCCATACATATAGAAGCGTATCTCATAATAACTCAGTCTAGGAATCAGCCTACATGTCCATCAACAGATGGATGGAAAGAAAATGATGTGGCATTTATACACAATGGAGTGTTACTCTGACACCCAAAAAAGATAAACTTGAGTCATTTGTAAGAAAATGGATGCACCTTGAGACCATAATATTAGGTGAAGTAACTCAGACACACAAACTTGAATATAATAAGATTTCTCTTACATTAAAAACTAAAAGATACATAATAGGAAAAAAGGAGGGGGGAAGGTGTGTACTTCAGTGCACATATGCATCTAAAAGTGTACATAGATACAAAGAGATCCTGTCTCATCCAGATGAGTAAACAGAATGAGTAAACAAATGTGTGCCTTGACTGTATAATTGTCTGACATGTTTAATATGTTCTTAGTCCTATCAGTCTGATTTTCAATCTGTTTTTATGATAATAAACTTTGTAAGGTCTTATAAAGTAAATAATGACCTTGAGGTTGGAAAAATAAAAGAGAATAAATTGAAGGGGAAAGGAATCAAAATGCGTTATATACATGTATCAATTCCCTACAATGAATGTAATCATTATATTGTAAAAACATGTACAAATAAAAATAAAATATAGAGTCAGTAATAACTAGAACTGAGTCCAGGTTCTGAGACTCACCAGGCTTTGTAGATTCCTTAATTTCTACAAGCCTTGATTTCTTCCCCTGTGACACAAAGTTAGCAATTCCAAATACCATCATGGTCCTGAGAATTACAGATCATGCAGCAGGTGATCAGCACTTGTTTGTGTTCTTAGGTACAGCAGTGAAGAGCTTGAGAACATGGAGATGACCAGCCCACCCAGTGATGCAGTGTCCACTGCATGGAACAGAAGTGACAAGAACCTCCCCCCACATTTTGACTTAGAAAACATGATCCTGGAGATACTAACAGTCATCTTTGCCCTCATAGGGATGTCTGGGAATATAGTTGTGTTCTGTATCCTAAGCTTCTGTGTCAACAGGAACACAATCTCAGTCTACATTCTCAACCTGGCCATATCGGACTTCCTTTTACTCAGCTGCCTCTTTATACTCCACGTGTGGACATTCATTGGAAACTTTTACTACTGGGAATATAGAGCCCTCCTTAATGTGGGGTTATGTTTCTACAGCATGGGCCTGTTCATGCTCAGTGCCATTAGCTTTGAGCGTTGCCTTGCAGTCCTGTTCCCTATCTGGTACCACTGCCACCGCCCAACATACATGTCCACTGTTATATGTACCCTGTTCTGGGCTCTGTCCCTACTGTTTGCCATTCTAACATACAGTTGTCCCTTTATACCTGGAAATTATCGTCTGTGTATAGCAATGAACTATACCATAGGCTCCAGCCTAATCTTTGATTTTGTGATTCTCTGTGGGTCCAGACTGACCTTGCTGGTCAGGATGCTCTGTAAAGCCAGGAGGTTGCAACTGACCAGGCTGTATGTGACTATCGGGCTCACAGTGCTGGTCTTCCTCTTCTGCGGCCTGCCTGTAGGCATCTTGGGGGTTTTAAGCCCTATAATTGATTTTGAAATTGTGTTTTCATCTTTTGGTGTCCTACAGCAGACTTCTTACTTTCTGTCTAGTATCAACAGCAGTGCCAACCCAATCATTTACTTCTTTGTTGGTTCCTTTAGGCAGAAACAGCAACAGCAGCGGCAACCATGGTCCCTGAAGTTCATTTTCCAGAAGGCCTTGGAAGATGTAGGTGAGAGGGAGAAAAGTGGAGACAGTCTTCCACAAGAAAATGTGGAAGTGGTAGGGTCTCCTTAATGTAGTGATTCTGTATCTGCCATAAGTCACTCAGAAAAAGTCTCTCTAGAAGATTGCACATATATAATTGTGAAAGTTCATACCCTAATATAGATAGAGACAATAATGCATATAGATTTATAGATACAAATAGAGATGTTTGCACATTTATATATGTATTGTATATGGCAACTTTCACATGCAACAGCAATTAAATAATTGCAGCACAGACCATATTACTGCAAAGACTAAAATATTTGCTAATTGCTCTATCTGTGTGTGCACACACCTACATGCATGCACACACATGTACACCCACAGAGAGGGTGCTTATAAATTCTTTTTATGCCACAACCATAAATTCTGGTTACATTATTTGGGGAAAGATGTTGTCTCTCTCAGGCTGGAGTTTCAAATCTACAGGAAGCTAGGACCGATAGATAGAAGCCAAGATAGGAAACCAACCCTTTCCATTCTCTCTCAATGCTTGCTACTTTGACATAAGATTTCTTTAGGTGAACTTCTTTCCTTTCATCAAAAAGCTAAAGTGGGCCAGAGAGATAGCTCAGCAGTCCATGTGCCTGCCTGGCAAGCACAAGGGCCTGGGTTTGATCCCTGTACCACATGCCACGCAGGCCCTGCACTGGGCCCACTGAGTTGCCCACTGAGCCTGGGTGTGGTGATGCACACCTGTAATCCCAGCTCTTGGGAAGCTAAAACAGGAGGAGCACTACAAGTATGAGCTTTGTAGTGAGACCCTGTACCAAATACATAAATTTTTTTTAAAAAGCAGAGATAAACCACACCAGATTCAGTAATCAAAAAAGTTCAGAGACTGACAAAGAATAGGTGGAATGGTTGCAGGCCCAGCTGTTGCTCATGCCAAGGACACCACCAACAGGAAGCAACAACATGCATATGCATTCCAGCGTGCTTGCACCAACCAAAGCAAATAAAAACTATACTGCTGTTGTTTCAAGTCCATTTATGAAATCTCAATCCCTAACCTAACTAGAAACTTAATAAAAAGGAAATCTTGGGAATGAAGTTAGTCTAGCTCAGTTGACACTTCCACATAATCCCTGCTTATTCCTTGTCAACATAGTGACTTTTACCCTTTTTATACCACACCAATATATACATTGAAATTTATCATTTCCCCAATAAATAACACATCTTGCCAATAATCACAACAATATATATTCTTTCATGAAATGCATGTTCAAATTTTATGGAATTATATTTATTTTATTGTCATGGAATTATCTTTTTCTTTTAATTTAATTTTAGTTTTTTCCCCATCTTATTTTTTTTATTTTTTAAAATAAATTTATTGAGAAACAAATCGCAATGAGACAGTCTCAAAACCGATTAGTAGGACAGTTTCAATAATTGATACATTGCATATTGTTGTCTTATGGTTAGTCATTGTACAAGATGAAGGCTAGATATCCTGTCCACAAACACTATTGGAACAAATCTTTCTATTCAATGAATTAAGATAACGTAATTGTATATCTGTCCTAAATATTTTGAATATACAGATACAAAATGGTCATTCATTTGTATCCCCTTTTTTGTTTAGTTTTGTCATAGAAGGGTATTCTACTGTCATTTAAATATTGTAGGTGCATGAATTCATCAAAATATTCTAATGTAGTCCAGTAGTCCATAATAGCAGTGGGTTTTCCATAAGACCGGCAATGTCAGAAGTTGTTGACTTGAACCTTTTTACAGCTCAGCATATTAATATGGCTTTACTTTTTATACTTTGTTTTTATACTTTTCTGTTGGATGGATAAGATGAAGATAAATCAAGACCTACATAACAAGAATGTAAGTTTATTTTATTTTGAATACTAGAAACAAAAGCAAAAGAAAATAGCAGAAATAAAGACAGAAACAGGGGAACATACAATAGTATGTGGGGGCTTGTGGGTCAGCTCAGTTGTTTAAAGTGCCAATTAGGCAAGCCCAGTCAGGTACAGAGGACCACAGTTTGATCCCCATGTCCAAAAGCTGCACCAGACCTTCCCTTAAGGCAACATGCATTAGCAAAAAAAAAAAAATCCATACAACCACCTCTGACAGGACAAAAAGAAAAAATAAAAACAAAGAGATACAAAGGAAAGATCACTTTGTATTTATATATACAAAATAATTAGGATAAATATACAGCTATTTTCGCTTAATTCAATGAGAAGAAAGAGGTGTACTAATAGTGTTTGGACAGGATATCCTGTCTGCTTCTTGTACTATGGATAACCACTAAGAAGATAACAATGTACAATGTATTGATTATCTAAACTGTCGAATTAATCAGCTTTGAAACTGTAAAACAATAAAATAAATCCATACAATAATAATGGTACAGATTTTTCAAACCAATAATAGCTGATTAACAATGGTTAATGTATTATCTATTTTTATCATCAAATCTGTTGCTCAGATTAGCAGATACAGTTATGCAAGCTTGGACAAATAGTCGAATAATTCCCTGGTGTGATTCCATCCTGCACGTCTGTTCTGTGGAGCAGTATTCATTAACTTCTGTCCACGTCCTCTCCAGCCTAAGTGTGTGCCACGACTCCATGGAAGACTCAGTGGATATGGACATGAGACTTCTGAGGCCTCAGTACTACCTCTTCAGTTGTGAACTAAAGGTTGACAAAGATTACCACTTTAAGGTGGATAATGATGAAAATGAGCACAGTTGTCACCAAGAATGGTCAGATTAGGGGCTGGAGCAAAGGATGAATTGCACATTGTTGAAGGAGAGGATCTGATTTATGAAGGCAATCCAATTAAAATAAAACTGGCATCTTTGAAAATGTCTGTATAACCCCCAACCCAGTCCTAGCCCAGGCCCAGTGAGTGTGTGGGAGAGGTTCCAGCTACCCTGCGCCAGCAGAACCTACTGGTCCCAGCCCAGGCACAGCGTGGGTGAGACCCTCTTCCACCTACTTGGGATGCCCCCAAACACTCCACAGCACCTCCCCCACACCGGACGCCCAGTAGGAATTTCTCCCACTTTCCAGGAACCCCAAGACCCAGTCTTAAACCAGACCCAGTGAGTGTGAGGGAGAGCTTCCAGTTAACCTGCGTGAGCGGGACCTACAGGTCACAGCCCAGGCACACCATGGGTGACACCAACTTTCACCCTATTGGGACACCCCCCATCATGCCATAGGACCCACCAACATCCTGCCCACGGAGTAGGAATTTCTATCTCGTTAAGAGGACCCCCAGATCCAGTAGTAGTCAAGGCCTGGTGAGTGTGTGGGAGAGCTGCCTCTCCCCCCTACTCCAACTTGTCCCCTCCAGACTCAGCTAAGGCCTCACATACAGGCTTGGGGTGAAACCATTCAGCCGCAATCCCTGCATAGAGTGTACAGGACAGAACCATCCCAACTAGTCCAGGAGCAGAACATCTTGCCAGAGTGGCACAACAGGTGCACCCCAAGAGCAGCAATAGGAAGGAAATGAACACAGCAGCAGAACCAAGGTAGGTACAGCTGGATAAATCCAAACATTGTAGATATACACCTCAACTTAGTAGGTGCTAAGGCTATAACTACAACAAAGATCAGAAGACAGTGCTACACAAAATGACAAAGAGAAGGACCAAAATGCAATATCAGAGCCCAAGCCCACCCATAACAAGTGCACAGGAAACTAACACAGAACACGTTGGGAATCACACAGCTGAAAGCAATGAATCAAGGGCTTCCAAAATAAAGACAGCTGCAGAAAGGTATAGAGGAACTCAGATTGGAAATGAAAAAAGAAATCCCTGAATTAATAACATCGGCAGTAAAGAATCAAATGCAGAAATATATGGAGGAAACCAAATGCCCACCCATAACAAGTGCAGAGGACACTAGCTAGGCTACAATGTATGAATTAAAAGCATCGACAGAAAAAAGCAGCAGCAGAAAGTCATAGAGGAACTCAGAGCGGAAAACTTTTCTACTAACTCAGCTCAAATGTACGAATTAATAGCGTTGATATTAAATAAGCAACAGCAGAAAGTGATAGAGGACTTAAGAGCGAAATTCTTTACTGACATAAAAAAAGAATTCTCAGAACTCATAGCATTTGAAGTAAAGAATCAACTACAGACACATAGGGAGGAAACGCAATCTGATAAAAACACTGCAGTAAAAGAATTTATAACTACATTGAAAGAAGACATTGATTAAAAAAACAGAGGAAATTAGATAAATCACACTTTCCTTGAATGCGCAATACAGGAAAGAAATAGACTGCATGAAGCAGAGTCAAAGAGATTTAGAGGATATTAAAATTTCAAGCACAAGCTTGCAAAATCATTTAAGTGAAAGTGAAGACAGAGATTCAGAAATTGAAGACTCTGGTGCAGCTAGTGAAAAGATAAGAAGAGATCTCTTAAAAACAACTGGGATGGAGGAAAAAATAATCCATCACCTGCAAGACGATGCAAAGATGAGCAATGTGATACTAATAGGCATCGATGAGAAAGAAGAAGTCAATACAAATGACATTAAAAAAAATATAGGCAGAAGTAATAGCAGAAAACTTCCCTAATATGAAGAAACAATCTGATGGTTAGGTAACTGAAGCATACATAATGTGAAGTAATTTTAACCCAATGAAAAACACACTGAGACATGTAATAGTCAAGATCCCAGAAATTCAGCAAAAGATTAATGTACTGAAAGCTGCTAGAGAAAAGAACCAGATCACATTCAAAGGAAAACCCATCAGAACTGCAGCTGACTTCTCTTCACAAAACATGAAGGCAACAAGACCATGGAGCACAGCACTTCAAGTCCTCTATGAAAACAAATTCCAGCCCAGACTACCATAACCTGAAAAACTCTCTTTCAAGTTTAGAGAAGAAGTGAAATACTTTCACGACAAAGAAGAGCTAAACAATTTCATGATGACAAAGCCAACCCTACACAGGCTACTGAAAGATGATCAAGAGAGGGACCAAAATCATCAGAACTTCATGAATGAGATCAAAAGCAACCAACTAA